AGAAACTTTCCCCTGTCGTTCTAATGCTTGGGCTTTTCTTTTACAAGTTACTAGATAAACTCTACTACGCCTAAGCCAAGATGTGTAGCGACAATTTTCAAGCATCAGTCATATGTTTTACTGAGATTTAATGCCAAGGCAGAGAAAAATTCTGAATTCAATAACAAAAATCGCAACTTATCGCCATATGTGAATGACGTCGGTTCGGTTTATCGATCGCAGCTATCGATCCACATAGTCGACTTGTTTACTCCCCTACTTACAGTAAGCCGAATTGTTTCCCCTTCCACTATACAATAAAACGGTCTTTTCAGAAAACAAGCACAGTTGGAATCGCCAAAATTTACGCTATCGAATGATTACTAATAGTCAAAGAGAAAAGCTCTGTCGTACGAGATAAAAGCGCGATAAGTGAGATATTGAGCAACGTGTGTGAAAATTTTGGATGCTACACTGCTGTATGATGACTTTCTCAGAAAAAGTAAATTTCTGACTTCTCCGAAATTCAAGCTTTCGAATGATTACTGCTAGTCTAGTGGAAAGACTGTCCAGCAAAAAAGTCTTCCTCAAGAGATGCTTGCCCGATAATGGAAATGATCCGCGACAATAAAGGTTCGACGAGATGCGATTCCAGTGTTCAAGAGCTTCAACAGAACGTCTGCTGAACCGTTCTGGGCAAACTATCTTCTACTTAGCATGAAATCGTCTTGTTCGAAAAAAAGACAATAAAATTCAGAAATTACGCAGTCACAGCAAACCAGATTTTTGATTCTATGACAAGTTCATGAGAAGATAGCGCTAATAACAACATTATTGAGAACTATGATCGGCTTGCAGAATATCTTCACAATAGGACAAAGAACATCGAGAGTCCGAAGATCACCAAAAGACACGTGTGTTCAAGAATTCTCGTAGTAAGATTCGCTCTGTGTTTTACGAATTTATTTCCACTTCAGTTTCTTCAAAAATCAAACCAAACTGTCTCCCGTCACATCAACGAAGGTGCATTCGCTATCTCATCGCTGAAGGATTGTACAGCACCTGACGGTTCTTGATTCTAGTAGAAAACAATGAACCGTCAGTGCTTAACAATAAACAAACGCTATTTTTTCAAAAATCTTCAGGATGTTGCAGCATATGAAGAACAGTCACAAAATAGCAACTCAATGTATATAAATATATATATATATATACATATGTATGTATATATACATATGTATACATATGCACATGCACACATGTATATATATATATATATATATATATATATATATATATATATAGGTATATATGGGTGCTCTATCTCGAAGAATGAAAAGAGGTGATTATATTGGCATATGAAGCTAGAGAGCAATTCAGTTCACCTAATAACTATTTCGACTATCTGATTTTGACATAGTTCTACACGCACAGAAACGCATATGTCCATTGGTTACCAATTTAGCTTTCTTTTCTGAAAAGTTGACTGAAACGATGCTTGAAATATTTTTTCCGAAAATATAAACACTATAACGATAGCGACACATACAATATAATTCACGCTGCTCCTTCGACCTGGCGCTGGATTCAACAAGCGAGCTATCTTTCCACGGTCAATAATATGGTTCCAGACCAGCGTGGAAAAAATTTGTTCACCGTAATCCATGTTATAACGCTCTAAGCCGGCTATCCCGGAACTCCAGGGTGAATCATTCGACGACCAACACTCGACGACATTTACAAAGAACTGGAAAATCCACAAGGAGCAGCCGCAGGTACACTTGAAAAGTTTGAAGACTTTTGTAGATGATGTAGTGAAGAACCGATCGGAATGCAAGAACTGCTGGAATTCGCACAGCAGATATGAAGATCGAGTAAAAGACATTTTATGGGCACACACCTATATACGAAACAAAGCTCACAAAAAAAAACCACTCTCTTTCATTGAAAGGTCGCGGCTGGAAACCAATTTTGTGCTTAGTTTTCGACTGCCGATCAGTTCAATCACAATAAAACTACTTACTTTGTCTAAGTTAAAAGACGAAACACATTTTATGTCGAATTAGATGCACATGGAACAAAACCAATCAATTGAAGAAAGAGTACCATTCGTTTTGAGTGCTTCCTTAAAACCACACTCAAATTTCAGTATATGTGATGCCGATTATTTGAGCCAACATGTCATGTGGCCTGTTATGGGCACTTGTACAACACATACACGTGTTTCGGGCTTGGCAGCCCCGTCAGCCTGCAAGCCCTTCGTCTTTAGCCTCTCGGGGGAACCCATAACCCCATACATAGAGTAAACGATGTCAAGTTACACGTGCCGTCAAATGAAAAAACATGAAAAAATCACCAAATCGGTAGTGCAGTACTTTCGATTGCTCTTGGCGATATTGGCCTCTTAGCCGAAACCAACGGCATAGTATTCCCAGAATACCAGCCAAGAGCAATCGAGTGTACAACACTGCCGATCTAGTGATTTATTTCACCTGACAACACTTGTAAATTGTACGTCGTTGCCTGCTCTACGTATGAGATATGGGTTCCCCCGAGAGGATTAACCAAAGACGAAAGGGTTGCCCATCTGACGAGGCTGACAAGGCCAAAACACGTGTATTGGGCTGGACAAGTGCATATAACGACCACATGACATGTTGGCTCAGATAATATTTATCAGATAGAAGAGAATCATCCTATTGGAATTAATTACAACTTGGACAATTCACCTAGCATATTTCCAAGCACACGTTTAACGTACAAACGGGACTCATAGTTACTGCCTCAGTGAGCTTCAAAAACTTCTGTAAATGTGCATCACAATGAGAAATCGATTGACACGGCAGCTTCCATACTTACACACTTTAGCACCATTTGTTCTTCTTATAATTAATTTCCCTCTTATTGAACCATATCTACGCAAGACGACCTGCTAATCAAGATTTATATATGCTGGTTTAAAAATAAATCTCTGTCCTTGTGGAACACCATGGAAACAGCATTTTCTTGTCGAAGCTCGTGCGGATTTATTCCGTTCTCTGCTTGACAATTCATCTTATTCTACGAGTCGATTTCTTATTCAGCTCCAGTCCTGATACCGCTTCTCGTTTTTTGATATTTCCCACAATCCACTACCTGGCGATTTGTGAAAATTACATTTATCGATTTTCTGATGGAACAAAAATCAACCTTTTGGCATAAATCTGTTGCAGTAACGGAATTATGTTCTGATGTAAACATTGAACGTTTACAGCTATTATTAAGCTCACCTTGGAAACAGAGAAAGAAATAACAGTCGGACGAACAAACAAGATTTTAATTGCAGCTAACCACTAAACAAGTTTAAGGCGGCAAACTAGGCTATAACGAGTTTCCCTCAGTAATTATCGCGTTATTCCATTAGAAAACAGTGCTGATGGATTGGAAAGCAGCAATGTATAGCAACACGGTTCGAAAAAACCCTATTAAACTTGAATACAATGTATCTGATTCATTGTTGAAGGTCGCAAGAGATCGCCATTTTTCCGCTATCTCGTCCATCGCAATGATTAATCACGATGGCATTTCGTCTCTAGTACAGAGATTTAAATGCTTTCGCAAGGTGATGGAAGAGCACTTGCTAGCGATCCACATTTTCAAAAATTATTTGATCTCGGCATCGTGCATCGAAAAAAATATTTCGAGAAAACGGAATTCATAGTCAGCAATGGTAGGCAGCGTCATACCAGGCATACAAAACTGTTCATACGTGAAAAAGACTAGGGACTAGCATTTCTTCGTGTTTTGAACTGGGCGAAAAATTACATGTAGGCAAACGTTGACCTGCGGATATCTTTACGTATTCAAATAACTCATTTTATGTGAACCGTCTTCAATAACTACTATGTGAGTCTCATTATTTCCTGCAATCAATTCGTTTCTTCCCAATCATCATTCACGAAGGTCTTCGAACTTTTTGTGCGTGATGATTATAGCTGCCGCTCGGGAATTTCCTCGCAGTCATAAATGTCGCTGAAAGCTGATCGAGTGGACTCTAGTTGGAGATAGCCAGGCTAGGAAAAGCTCCGACTTAGATTGCAAAAATCATTTCAAAAAAGGCTATCACCGACTTTCCTACATTTAAGGATTAGAGTAATAGCGTGGTGCGGAATTGAACCCGCATTGTATTCATGATGGTGGGCATCATTACTATTGGGTTGGCAAGGAATTTCCCGGACTTTCTCGTCCTTGTTTATTATTTTTCATGCATTAAAGTCATATTTTTATTATCGTTTAGAGCAGCTTCTTGCAGCTATATTAATATATAACGACCTATATTTCTCTTCTAAGATGAAGTTGTCCCGGGAGCAAAAACGACTGTTGATGTTACACGAGTTTCGTAGAGGGTTCAAGTGCTGCTGAGACTTTCCGCTGGATTAACGAGGTCTGTGGTGAGAGTACAGTTGGGAGAACCATAGTTTAGATCGCTTCAATGAATTCGAGGCCGGAAATGGAGATTTGATAAAAAAAAAACGGAGATTTGCTTAGAAAAAAAAAACGGGATAAACTTGCACAAACGAACGTCTAGAAACTTCTTGCCTACAAAATAGTTCGCCGCCCGGTTTCGTGAACTTCACGAGAGAAAAGGTTTTTTCCTGGTCACCAAACCAAGACACATATGGAATTTTCGCTACGTTGGTGTTGCCATGTAAATTCACACAATTACCCTTAGCGATGAGCAAAAGAGTGATTATCGAATATTCATGAGAGTTGACCTTAGCGATGAGCAAAAGACTGATTATCGAATATTCATGAGGATAGCGTCCAACAACACAACTGAAGTGCACCATCCATACAGAAAGAGTCACCTCAGGTAATTGCACATGCGACATGTAATTGCAGGTCACGACGAATAACATGACAATACTAAAATGCTGAGCTGATTTAATGCCAGCATTTGTTATTCAGACTAAACCTATTGACTTTTGATTACTGACACCTGTGATACGTGGTATCACAGAGAGTTCGATGGCAAAACACGAGCTCCGGCAGTGCAGGAGTTAGCACGTGTTTCCTGGAAGGATGTGACGCGGGTTCAACTCCCGCCTAAGGTTCAGAGTTTTACACATCACTCAACATTTTCGAGTATGTAGTTACAACATCACAGCACTTGCTAAGAAGACAAAATATTAGGTTTCCCATAAGCTTTGGCACTAGAGCAATAAACACCAAATTTATTAACCAGAAGGTACTAAAACTGCTGAACAACACGATTCAAACGTATGCACCATCGGCCCGAACACATTTCTGCCATCTCTCAGGCAACAAATCATGTGTCGATTGTGCAGAAATTTCTGAGCTTGCTTTTGGTAGCAAATTTGTCCATACTTGCCGCATAGTGGCCGCTCAACGAAGCTTTCGTCGCAATTTGCTACCTTACGAACACAAATTGAGACGCGATGTAGATACTCTTTCGGAGAACACCAACCGTACAAAGGCTCAAGGATCTGGGTCTAAGCGATCAGCGCTTCGGTTCTCTACTGAATTTTGTCATGATGCGGCATGGACCAATTTGGTACCAAAATAATGCTTAGAGAATTCTGCACAAAGCGGTATTGATTGGTTGCCCGAGAGACGGCAGAAATGTAATCCAGCCAATGGCGCATTCTTTGAATAGTGTTGTTAATCGGTTGACTTCCGTGGATCCACGGGCGTGGCCAACGATTCCCTCTCCTCTGCTCAGTGGACGTCGACCACAGCAATTTCTTCGTTGCACGACCCGCAGCCAAGTTTTGGAATGGATCGCGTGCGACCAACGCCGGCGTACTGACTACTATTTCTTGATGTTGACACCACACTTACACACATCACGTTAAAAAAACAGCAGTCAATACACGGGCGCAGACCGCAAGCGAATCATCCTTAAGCTTAGCTGCGGGTCTTGCAACGAAAAGTAGCAGCAGTTGGCGGTTAATCTCGGCGGAGGAGGTGGAGTTATTGGACACGCCCCTGGGTCCACAGAAGTCAACCGCTAATTCTTCTTACAATCCTACTCCTAATTACATTTTTGATTATTTCTGGTTCATAAATTTGATGTTTATTGCTAGCAAAAACTTATGAGAAAACCTAATAACAAAACTCTTTCTCATCATTTCATCTGATTCGTCATCATCGTGTTTTACTTCATTGTAGGAACCCATTACTTCTAACGTTCTTTTCGTTTTTTACCTTCTTCTTGAAAGGCGTTAGGAATACTAATTGAGCAAATTTCCTAGAAATTTCGAGAATAGCCTTGCTGTGGCGTTCCATAGAGCGTTGCTGTTGACTGCCGGAGAGAGGTGGGGAGGGGGTAGAGTTCGGTTCCAAGCGCGCCGTGACCAGCATCACAACCACTCGGCCACGGCGCCACACTAATAGAGTTCTTAAACTTTATATGCGAAGCATATTGCCTACTAAGTCGGGATTCCTTGAAGGTCATACGCAAGTGCTTGTAACAATTCTTAAGAACTGCCCTTTCTCAGAAAAAAAGAAATTTTTACAAAGATTTCTATAGGGTGCCAAATCGACACACCATGAAAAACTACTAGAAAAACATTGAGTAATTGGACGAGCCGAACGAATAGAATACATTATTTCCCTGGAGACGGAGAGACGAAGAATACACTTGGCCTGAGCAACGTAGTTGATCAGTAGGTCATAAGAAGAACATGGAGGAAAAAAGAAAAAAAGAAAAGAAAAAAGAATGAAGAAAGACGAGGGAATGAGACTGAACCCCTTCCCCCTCTGACTATCGACAAAGCCCTCAACCAGACCGACGGACGGACGGCCGGACGGAGCGCAGCCGGACAGCGCCACTGACCCTCAACCGATTCAAGGCGCGCTCCAACGCGCACCGCTCTCGCGTCAAGCAAAAGCTGAGCGCAAGCTGGTCAGCCTGACGCGTTGTCGGTCCCGCTCGTCGCGCAATACTTTCCTCAGCGACGGGACCGTCTCCTTGGGGGTCCTTTGTGATGGGCCACGGTCTGGTCCGTCTGCTCTTTAGAGAGTCCTTTTTTTGGTGATTTATTTTGGTCTAGAGGAGTTTTTCTTTCTGCACTTCTACTAAACAGTTCCTCTGGTCGCTAGGCTTTTCCTTTCCGAGGACCGACTATCTGTTCAACTTGACATTGGAAGAAGAATTCAGTGTTCTTCTCGATGAGCAGGTGTGAAATTGTAGTAGTAGAATTTATTGAGTACAACTGAAAACAATGACGTATTCGGTTGGCAATGACTTTCCGGAGTTTTTAGTTTTTCTTTCTTATTTTTCATTCATTTAAGTTTTTCTTTTTGCTGTCGTTTAGAGCGTCTTCTTGCGGCTGTTTTCATATACAACACTTATACATTTGTTGCAAGATGGAATTGGCCCGAGAGCAAAAACATTGTTGGTGCTAGACGAGTATCGCATGGATTCAAGTGCTGCTGAGACTTTCTGCCATGCACTCGTCGAGCATCAACAATCGTTTTTGCTCTCGGGACAATTCGATCTTATATGTATAACTGGATCGAGTGTAAAACGTTCGTCGTCACTAACTCTTAGTGTGGGACTGGAGCACCCACAGAGAATAGCAAAAGACGAGAAAAATAACTGCCCGACTGACGAGATCGCGAGATCGAAACACGTGTATCGGGCTCTATAAGTCAGCCCTATTTGACTGATCACTGACATGCGTGGCTCAAAAATGATTACCAGGCATATTGAATTTTGAGCTGTGGTCTTAAGAAAACACTCGAAACGAAAGATATGTTATATACCAAAAGAACCGCAAGAAGCTGCTTCAGACGATAGTAAAGACGAAGACTCAAATGCAGCAAAAATAATCAACGAAAGCGAAATAGCTCGGAAATTTCATACCAACCCATTAATGGCTCGCGTCTTGGCAATATCTATCGCCTTCTTCAGAGCCGTTTCGTTCCCCTTAAAGTCTTCCAGTTATTTCCACGGACCAATAAAATCATGGTTATAAAGAGCGGTCGAATGGAGAGCTAATAGATAGCTTGTAATAGTCTAGCGTAATTCTGAAGCGCCGGTTAAAAAACTCGTAAAGAGTCTTCGTTCGAAGCACAGGTGATTTTTCTTGTTATAAAGGATGAAGAATAAAGGATAAAGCTTTCGGCTTTGATCGATCCGTGAGTGACGCGCCATGCATTCGTCTTCAATTTTTCTAACGTTTGAGGTGATTGAATGCACATCTGGCCTTTACAATGACTCGCGGTGGCCTCCCGCTGAACCGAGTCAGTGCTGCGTATCCTCCCAGACATAGTCTGAGACCTGTCTGGTACCAATTTACCGACCCCGGAGGGATGGATGGCTTGGTGAGCCATGAGCGCGAGATCGAACCAGTGACCTCGTGTGCGACGCAGGGCACCTCTAACCACTGCGCCACATGCGCTCTTCTTGTTGTAAGTGTTCTACAAGTACATAACTACTTCTTGGGAGGACTGGAAGTCTCTTGCGACGTGTCTCTCTCTCTCTCTCTCTCTCATTTCTGCTCAAAAGTGAGCTTTCGTTCTTTCTTTACCTACATATGCAATACTTGTGTCAAATAGTCTCATGTTCCTGCCTATATTGTCGATCTCTTAATGATTCTTCGCCTCACTCGTGGCTGGAATGTTCTGTAATATAAACAGCAGAGGTCCATGTTCTCGTTAACCCTTTCGAGACCGTGGACCCATCTTCTCTGTATCTCCAGTCCCCAGCGTAGCGACTTCAGACGGTCTTCCCCACCACTTCTGCATCTCTGACCCCCAGCGTTGAGACGCATTGAATGTATAATTGTATCAATACAATAGTATTCTTATTTTTTCTTGTAATTTTATATACAAATATATTTTAATGTTATAGATGGAAAAATAGCGACAATAGTACAAATGAGGTAGTACGATGATACATCCAGTGCGTTCCCACGTTGGTGGTTAGAGATGCAGAAGAGGTGGGTCGACGGTTTCGAAAGGGTTATCTTCAAAATTGGAGGGTTTACATCTTGTAACCTAGCTAAGGGTAAATCGATGCTACAGCACAATCTTCTGAACTTCTTATGACTGCTAGTTGTTAGAAAAAAGGACTTCAGCCTAGAACTTTGACATCAATCGAATTCATTGTGGGATTCTTCAAAGTAACGGCGACATATGTAGCTTAGTGGTTCCGCCCTGGAACAAATGAGTCAGGTTGTATTTTCAGACAGGTCTCTCCATGGATCCTGAGCTCTTGCGTCAGCGTGCTGCATTTCAAAAACATGCGTCAAGAACTGTTTCGGTCCAACAACGTCCTCAAATCCAACTGGTACCATTTTCAACAACCTCTTTTGCTTCATTGTGAATATTGAAACTATAGTATTTTCACTGCTTTTTTCGCAATGTTATTATGTTACATATACAACCAAGAGAATTGAGTGGTGAACAAAAACACGGCCTCAGGCGGGTATCGAACCCACGTTTTTGTTTTTTTTTTTTTTTGTTCACCACTCAATTCTCTTGGTTGTGAATATTGAGTTATGTTACTATTCTAGTTTGTTCTAATGAGCATACCTAGTCTTTCTTTGTTTTGACAGTTGAGTCAAATTATCAATTTGTTTAGCCTTCTACATCGGTCAGCCATACAACTTATAATGCGGAAGCAGCAAAGAAAAAGAAGAAGGTTTTAGTTCAGCCAGCTCCTAAACCTGGTGAATTTCTTGTTTAGAATTCGTTTGTCAAAGTTAACTAGTTCCGTTCCCCAATTTTGTGGTTTATTTTGTTTTGTTAACGATTTCATTTTTTTTCAGAATTCGACTATTCGGCAAAAAGCATCGTGTCACATAGCAATGCTGCTAATTTTGGAACTATGGCCAAAATTGTCGACTATATGAAAGTATGCTGTGGGGACTTTTCTTTGCAGAGAGACATTGAATTGCCGCTAACGTCAACCACTAATTTGATTTGATCGGCTTTCCTACTTTGTAGAAGCGACATCTTAGTCAACAACAATGGCCCTTATCTTTACAAGAGATATTGGACGAATTACAAGTATATGATCTATCTAAACGATCGGAAGCTTGGCTCAAGGAGGTGAGACACTATTTAGTAGTTGAGTACAAAG